GGGGAGCGCGGCCGCCCCGCGCCTCGGCCCCGCGCTCGCACCTCTCCCCCCCGCTCGCCGCGGCGCCCCGCGCGGGAAAGGGGAGCCCCGAAGCGCCAGGCTAGAGGACACTGCGCCACGTGCTCAGCAGCTCCCGGGGTTTGCTGCGGTTGCACCAGGCGCCAAACAAACCGGGTCCCAGTTCTGGTGGCGCCATGGGATGAAAAGGTATTTTGGTAGCACTTACAAATGAGATAAAATCGGAACCTGAGACTCAGCCCAGCTCAGGGGGCGATCGCGGGCTTAGCCTGGCTGCTTGTGACTTTGCTAGAAAGTGCAGTCCCATCTGCTGTCACTGTCCCAGGCTCCTCCAGGCAGCACTACTGTCTTTTGTTTTAATTGGCATCACACAGAATTTTCATGTCTCTCCCAACCCCCATTCGCGTGGGCCAGAGCACTTCTGGATGCGGCCAAGTGGCAGAGGTGTCGAGAGCACCTTTCCCTAGCAGTGTAGAGCAAGTGAGCTCTCCCTGCAGAGAATCGCGGGGATCCTTCAGCCCAGCCTGTCCTGTGGCTCCACTTCATGGGAGAGGGAATTCCCCATGCCCATGGCATGAGGTTTGGGGCAAGCTTGAAAGGGCTCCAGGCGGGTTGAATCTTACTGCACTAGTTAGTAAGTCTAAATCCTCCCTTGAATGCTCAGTCTAGCTTCTGTTGCAGTCATTTACTTTGCAGCAAGTGGCTATGCACCCCGCTCACTGTCTCTGCTCTATGCAGTGAGTGAGATGGGGGCCAGCGTACTGCACACCTTAAATCCTACTGACCTTTTTTTTCTCTATTAATTTCAACATTATACTGCAAGTGAGATGGGTCCTGGGTTGCCAATAGTCAGTACAGAAGGTAGGAGCGTGTTTCCTCTGTTGTGAGCTGCGCACACATGGTTTAAGGAGGAGTTATTCACAGATCCCTGTACTTTTTGTTTTATGTCCTACAGAAACATTCGTCTCCTTTTTTTCTCCACTTCTTCTTATGTTGTAAGAGTTCTGTCATTATTTAAAATGAAAGAAAAATCTCTTTTAGATGTTTTATTCTCCCCTTGTGGTGGTAGCAGCCACTCCCACTGTAATAGAAGGAATTGCTGTACAAATGGGGTACTTAACAGCTTGAGCCTCCTATTGCATCTGCTACAGCCTGAATATTAGCTTGATTGCAGTAAGTGTTCATCCAATTTTCTAGGCTCTGTTCCTAGGATCTGATCCTGACCTTTATTAGATCCTTACACTCAATTACAGATTTGGTGAAACGTTTATCACACTGATGTGTTAGTGTGGTACCAGGTGCAGGCAGTGAATGATCAAGCCCTTGGTCTCTGTTTCATTTGATAAACTGCCCATCTGCCTTCCTGTTTTTATTCTTCTTCTTTCCCTCCTTTTGTTCCTAGAGGCAACCGAGCTCAGAACTGCTCTTACATATCTTATTATTTGTTTTTTCGTTTTGGACTTTATTCAGACACAGGTGCTATGGAAGTCAGTCCCAGATTTCTGTGAGTCTAAGTTGGTTTTGTTAGGAGTTGAAGAGTGGGATCAATGAAAATATATGCTGCCTAAAATGAATTATTTCTGAAGCCCAGAAAAATGTACTTGATGTGCAATATGAGAGAAAAAGAAGTTGAAAGGGGATAAGTGGGTGGGTTTGGGATTAAGCGAAAGGAATTTGTGCCTAATCTGGTAACAGGGGGCAGGCGGTCGGTGGGGATATCAGAGACTCTGCAACTCTGAGTGAAGGTGCTTTTGTACATGGAGGAAAAACCTCATTGTGAAGGTGAAAGTGTAATGGGCCAGCAGGGGGGAAGGAACTACAGACTCCATTTGCAGAGAAAATTTTGAGCTCTCAACCACAGTCTTCCCTTTTTAAAGAAAAACACTTATCCCCAAAGTGATATTTTTTTGATGCACAGAGAACTTCTTACCTGAACAGTGGTTTGCAGACTCAGCTCCTGGCTGTGCTTCCAACTCTGGCAGCCGTTGGTTTCTCTTGGGGGACGCTGGTAAGGCTGCGTTATCGGTTAGGATGTGCTGCACACAAAACCTCCTGAGCAGCAGCTGGAGTTTGTCAAGGACTTGACCTTGTCCCATTTTCTTTCCTTACCTCTTCCCTTTAAAGCCTCTTGTGGAGTGACATTGAGCTCCTTTGTCTTTCCCATACGTGGGACCATGGAGCTCCCCCACCCCTCCTTTCATTTTACAAGTTCTCCGGGTAGATTATGTGACAGTCGAGCAATGTTTCATCCTGGGACTGCTTCAGAACAGAGCATGTACAAATTGTTTACAGGTTATAGAAAGATTCAACCCATGCTTCATTAAATTATCCCTTGGAAATATTTTTCCGATTGTCTGGTTCGGAATGTTGCACAATACTTCACAAAACCAAGAAGCATAATGATAAAACCCAGAAATCACTGGGAAACTTAAACAAATGAAACATCCTATTGTTTAAGACTGCTTAAAATTTTACAGACTTTTTTATATATCATTGCAGCTTGATTCTTGTCTCAACAATGCTGTTGTAAATCATGCAAATCATCACTAAAGTAAGAACTGGAACCTACTGAGCGGCCGGGTTTACAAAAGCTCCCTCTGATCGCCTGTGCCGCACGATCTAGCACCATGTATGTGAGGCAGCGTTGCCTGGGGTGAGCTCTGTGAATTTTCTGCTTCTGCAATTTTTTTGGAAAAAGATAGCCACGGCCAAAAGAGTTTACCACAAGAGTGTGGATGATGATACAATATTTTCTGATCCAGGCTGCTGGCCTTACTCACTTTGGCATCTTTCTCCTCACACCAAGCATGAGATGTCAGCAAATACAAGGAGCCACATCCTCAGTGTTACTCAGCATGCCAGGCACACGCGGGAGCCAGCAGCTCCATGATTCAGAGCTAGCTCTGTGTTCACTCTGCCCTAAATTAAAACATTTGTGGTGTGCTTTTCAAAGTATATATATTTGTGGTTGCATATCACATTCTTAACCTTCATTAATTTCAGATTTCCTTGGACTTTTACTCTTTGCATTCCCACTGAATTCTCAATTCATGATTTCAATTCTCACTTGCTACTGAAAAGCTTAAGCTGGGCTCCAAATTCTGACCCAAATTCCCACAGCTACTGAGGGTAGGGAATAAACCTCCCAATGCTCCCCCTGGATCAGCTCAATGCTAGTGAGGACTATTGCCTCTACATCTGCTCAAGTTTTCATGTTATTTGTAAAATAAAGGTATATAAAAATTGCAGTCTCCTTCCACACAGATAACACACAGATTTGATTGCAGAAAGCATGAGCGTAATGTTATATTTAATTCAAGCATAAAACTTGTTTATGTAGTTGTCTTAATTTTGCTTTGCCAAATTCCTATAGCAATTCTCCCCAAGGTTTGCCTTCTGTTCTTGACAGTGCCGGAGGAAACCACATAGCTTAATCGTTCTTGAGAGGAAAACACAGAGTTGATTACTTTGTGGTCATACAGTGAATAGCTCTGCTAAACTGCTCTTTCATCAGTGGTGTTTTGTGTGTACCCTTTTCTTTTTATAATACAACTCCCCTCAGTGAGTAACAGTTATACTGTGAAGGGCTTGAAAGATGGACGAAACAGCAAAATTTGGAAAAGTTTAGATCCTGCTCAAGATTTACATTACCGTGTCTATCCTCAAAATGTGGGCAAACTGTGGTGCCTTTTTAGTGCCCCTTTTTGGCAAAGACATTTACCTGTGACATTTAGAAGTTGTGCATCATCACTTTGTTACTGAATTTTGCAGAACTAGGAGCTGTGTTGCCAAAGTCCACCCTTACTTTGAAATATAGAAACTTTATAGCCTGTATAATATGCTAGATCACTTGAAAGAAAAAAAAAAAACCCTAAAACTCAGCAA